GGTCGTCCTAGGATGTTTAGTTGTTTACTTTTCGTTTATTTCTTTAATTTTTATTTGTTCTTTTAGAATGAAAATTCTCGTAGCTCTTTTAGGTATTTTAAACTATTATGTAAAGAATATAAACCCTAACTCTATTATTCTGCATCTGCATTCAATTTATGATTTTATTTTCTTTTAAGTTTCGAGCCTTTACATCGGATCTAGTAGCATCCTCAAATATGAGCTGTTGATCGCGTGAGTCATTGAATTGATGCAAGCTTTATCCAAGCTATTTTTTCAAAATTAAGTGGGCGTGAATATGGACCATCCATACGCGCGGGAGCGACCACGAGCCGTTCGATCCTCTTAGCATGAGGATTGCCAACGTGGGCTTTCTGTGTGGAGTCCTTGTCGATGTGGCTACCATAAGGCATGCAGCAATTCGCCATGTTGTTGACTGGCTTCCACGTGGCCCATTTTGCTTGAACTACATAATGACCCTTGGTCACTTAGATTTATTTCAAATATACCAATTTTTATCACATAATGGCCTTACTAGGAAATTTTATTTTTAAAAAAGGTCTATGGATGAAGTTTTATTTATTATTTTGTTTTATTTTATTTTAATCTATTTTTCTTATTAGTTATTATTATTATTATTATTAGTATTATCATTAATATATTAAAAAATTCAATCTTCCTTATTTCAAAGTTAATTATCTCGAGCCCGCGATGTTACATTATCGATCATTGCCTTCAACCACAAGCCAACTACCGATTGTTGTCCTCAACCACCAGCAGATTACCAAGTGCCCTTTACTATTAGCTAGATGTTGACTGCTGTTTTATTTTATCCTCTGTTATTAGCTAGATGTTGATCACCATTTTCTTTGCTCTTTGCTACCAACTAGCTATTGATTGTTGCTTTATGATGCTAGTTAGTTGCCGTCGTCTACCAATTGATCATTTGTTATGTAGTAGCCGTTAGCCATTACCCACTGCCGACGTGTTATCTTCTAGTGTTAGTTGTTCTTCATTGGCCACTTGTTACTTGCTCTTAGCCATATGCCCTTCACTAGTTGTGGCCCATTTCCCTCCATTTTTTTGACTTATTCTCTTTAAAACTCTTTTGGTAATTTCAGTATAAAAAATTATTTAATAAAATAATGAATTTTATCTTTCAATGTGACAACACTTTCTATATATATTTTTATCAAACACACAACAACTTTTTATTCATTAACTATTTTGATAGCACTATAAGCTCACAATTAAATCTGTAATTATTGCCAAACACACTCTAAAATAACTAGAACGAGCTTAGAAAATTGATTAGATGTTTGATATTTCTACAACTCTCTATGAGAATATAGTCTAAGTCTTGCTTTAGTAGGATGATAATTCTGATTTGAACCCATATAACTAAATTCGTTAAATCCCAACTAGTAATAGTTTTCTTCAGCAAGTAACAAGTTTGAGGAAGTCAGCTTTGAATTGGCATGAAAGCAATTGTGGGGCAGGTTGGATTCGGATTTGACGTACTAAAATTTATTTGAACCCGATCTAGTACGTATATATTTTTATTTTGTATTAATAAATATACTTATATCTATATTATAAATATAATTAATATATAATATTATATACATTAATAAAAGTACACATTTTTGTTTTAACTAATATAAATATAATTATATTTTATTAATATAATAAAATATTTGAGTTAAATGTGAGTTAGATAATCTATAAATCTTGAACAGTCTAAAAGAATTAAAAGATTTTAAATTCGTACCAGGTTTGAAATGAGTTCAAGATTTCAAACTCTTGACATGACCTCGCTTATTCCTATCTTTAACCTCTGACTTCCATATATGTTTTTATTAAAAAATTATATAGTATTATTGATTGTATTATTATTAAAATATGTGTATTAAATAACTGTTAAAATATATAATTTTTTTTTTGAAAAAAAATAATTAAAGGTACCTAATGTAAAAATTAGTAAAGTATAAGAGCTGCAATAAATAGTGTGCATTATTAATGTACAATTGAAGTAAATTAGTTTGTTAGTTAGGGGAATAAAAATTAAAAGTAGTCAATTTAGATAAATTAATAATCTTAGGAGAATAATCTTGTTAAACATGTGTCTAAAATAATTGTTTATTCATAGTAAGGGGGAATATAATACCGAAAATAAAGTTTACTCTATATCTTCAAAATCAATTTATATTTTTAATTAAATAAGCAACATAATCAAATATCTCAATTTTCTAACTACTATTTTGAATTTAGTTTAACAATATTGTGAGTGAATATATTAATAAATCTTATAAAATTTATAAATTTTAGTCATATTTATAATTTTATATTAAGTTACCTAGAATGATTATTTTTAATTTAATTAATAATACAAATATAATGTATATTTAAATTTTGAAAGAAAAAAAAAAAAAACATATAGGTAAATTTCAAGTGCTCACTCCTAATTCTAAATTCAAAATTTCCACCAAATTACCAAAACATTTCTTGAAAACAATATCTTTTGAAAATACCAAATAATGTTTCTAATCCTCCATTAATTACATGACATGGTTACTTATTAAGTGCTCATATGGTATTTTAGCAACAAAAAAGATTTTAGAAATTAATATTTGAAATCATAATTTTCTCTACACTATTTTCCCTCACTTTCTCTCTCATTTTCTCTCCTACCAAACACACCATTTCCCTCCCATTTCTCACTCCTTTCTTGACTTTTCGTATTTTCTTTTTCCCGAGCAAAAAGTTTATCACAATGAACCCATCACTTCAATTGTAAAAAAAATAACGAACAACCAAAATTATTTTCCTATCTCTTATTTCCTCCTAAATGCCAAATTTTCTCTCATTTTCTCTTACTTTCCCTCATCCCAAATACCCAACTCTTAGTTTTATATTCTTAGTCATTCAATAATTAAAGTTTACATATATTAAAAAGTTTCTAAATTCTAATCACCAAGAACATAATATTTCAAAATCTAAATATGTTCATATATATTAGCCATCTCAACAAGAAGAAGATAACATGTTCATATTAGCACTTGGAGCGTTTATTTCTACCTCATATTGCATTCAATGTGTATATATATGGCCTATTTTATAAAGTCTAAGGTTATTGTTACTTATTATAAAAATAACTCCACATATGATTTACATCTATATATATATATCATAAAGATTTGTTGATATGGGTAGGAGAAGTGAAGTAAATGGATCTCAATCATTGCCTCAAGATTTCTCTGATTACATTGTAAGGAGAAATAGTGACCGTCTTAGAATTGTATGAAATTATTGTACGTGCACGTCTTTCTCATTTAATAAATAATAATTCCATCTAGATATATTTGGCAAATTAACAGAAATCACATCTCTGTATATCTCTCTTTGTCTGTATATGCATGTGTGTGTAAGTATGTGTGAACAAAAAATATTTTTACCTTAACTACAAGATACCAAAAATGATATTAACCCAATATTTGGGAGTGGTAATGACTTAATAATAGGTTATTGTAAGGCGCGCACACACACACACACACACACATATATATATATATATATATGTATGTATGTAGAGGCAAATATCTTAGGTAATCTAGGAATGGGGTTTAATTAGTTTTAGGGTTTAGGTGAGAATTAATAAGAGGAATAAATAATCAATGCAATTTAACATACCTAAGAAACAAATAAAGTAATATTTAAACTCTTAAATTAAATATATTCTAATTTAGAGTAAGATAAATGAATATTAAATGTTTTTATAATACATTTTAGACATATAGAAAATAATATGAAAAGATTATGTAAAATAATTTTTTATATTATTTCTTCACGTGCACTTCAAAACCATAGGAAATAATGAAAAAAAATATGTCAAATGATTTTTCAAATCTATAAAAAATACAACATTTTACTTCTTCTTACAAAAGGTCTTCAAGCTCTAATTATAGTTTCTTATAAAAGACAAACTTAAAATATCATTAGGATAAATTAAATAATTTATCATTTTATCAAAGTCAATTCATGTTCTTCTATAGATTCTAAATCAAAATTTTAAGTTGAGTAAGATTCATGTTCAGAAAAAGGACAAATTATTAAATTAATTTATGAAGTTTAGTATTTATTATAATTTGATTTATAATATTTTTTTATTACAGTTTAGTTTCATATATTTTTTATTTATTTTATAATATTTTTATTTTTAATTGAAAAATTAAAATAAATAAGTCATGCTTGTCTGTATTTAAAAGTAACTTAAAATAATAATTCTTAAATATTGTTACTAATTTATTCAATTAAGTGAATTATGTAAGTTTTATTAAAAGATTAAAAAAAAAAATTAACATTATGTATAATTTCAATTATTTTATTTAAATTTGTGTTCGTTTCTGGCGTCCTCCCTCATCCAGCGTGCTGTCTGAAATGAGCAAGGGAGGAGAGTTTGCTTCAGCCCCGAAAGAAAGAAAGCCGCATGACTTCCTTTTATCGTATACGAAACGACGACGTTTTGAGTTATCTGAATTAAAACGACACCGTTTAGAACTTAAGAGAGGATTTGTGCATATGGGCTGTGACCGAATGGACTTCGTTTTTGGGTTTATTTTGGAAATTTTTTTTTTTTTTTTTTTCTCGAGTTTTTGTTATAAATGCAAAGTCCAAATGTATTATAAGAATTTGGGAAGATATAACACAAATCAGTTGAAATTTCACAAAATCTCCTCCAATGTATAAATTGTAAGAATTGTAAATTGAATAAAAATAGTAAGTTTTTGCTATTTTAGATTTAGACACTGTTTACCTTTAGTGATATTTTAAAATAAAATTACAACTTTGGAGAATTGTAATAGAAAATATTTTAAAGTTCAAGGATTGAATTGTAAAAGAAAATATTTCTGGGGTTAATTTGTAACATTTTAAAGGTTGGAGGACTAAAAGTGAATATTTAAAACAAACAACACAATCGCTGTGCAACAATCTAACGAAAAACAAAATCCAGATTATCTTACCGCTGAAGGATTTGCAGGGCACAAGGTCGAGGAAACAGAGGGAAGAAGAGGATGAACAGCGTGTTAGTGGTTGTATCTATTGGTGGTAAAATTTAGAGCAAAGGATTACGATTAATTGGCGTTTCAGAAACTTAGAGAGAGATCGAAAGAGATGGGGACGGTAGGACTGGCGCCGGGACTGTCTCGGAAGCTGAAGAAAGTGTTAGAATGTCGGACGGAGAGTCCGGATCTACTCTCGTCGCTCAACACTCTCTCCACTTTCTACTCAGAAAACACTCCGCAGGCGCGTCGCAACCTCAGATCCACCATAGATAAGCGCTCTCTCCAGATCAATCAGGAGTTCCTATTGGCCGCTCAGCCGCCCAGCTTTCTTTAAATCGCGTGAAGGACGAAGTCAATGCCCTGGCCGATGCTGCGACAAGTAAGTTGTCTCTTTCCATTTTCATGCTTTCCATTTCCATTTGATGCAGCAACTCAACAACCTACATCGACGTTTCTGCAGGATTGCGAAGGCCCTCAGCAGTTGCAGTGCCACCACAGGGGATATCATCACCACCACCGAGAGGCTCAAGCAGGAACTTGACGTCACTACGCAGAGGCAGCAGATTGTCTCCTGCTTCCTTCGTGATTATCAGCTTTCTAATGATGAGGTATCTGCTTTGTTTTATTCTGCCCCCTCTCTCGGAGTTTGATACCTTAGTCGTTAAGTAATCCATTTATCGAGACCAAAAATATTGGATTCGTAGATAAAGGCATTGAGGGACGAGGAATTGAGTGAAAATTTCTTCAAAGCGCTCGCTCATGTTCAAGATATTCATGCCAACTGCAAAGTACTGCTAAGGACTCATCACCAGGTATATTTTTGTCTTTGTTTGGCTCTGACTTGCGCTTTCTGCTTTTTGTGTCGTTTATTCACTTGAGGGCATCTTTACAGCGTGCAGGCCTGGAGCTTATGGATATGATGGCCGTGTACCAAGAAGGAGCATATGAACGCCTCTGCAGGTGAGCCATCGTTGCAGTGGCACTGAGGTTATGGAGCTAGCTGGATGCAATTGATACTTTGGTTCTGTTCTACTGGCAATTTATGATTTAGCTTAGTGCAACATCTGGTCTCTTTTGTTTTCGCGGAGAGTGTTTACTTGAATTTTACAAAAGTTGCATGAGGGAAATTATATATACATACATAGATATATATATATATATATATGTATATTATATAAAATGAATTCGCGGAGGAAATGCAGACTTTAAATTAGTGGCTTCGGATACTCATCCTGACAACTTCTTAATCACCCTTATTTCTTCCGCAAAATTAGAATTGTGGATTATTTTCTCTTCTTCTTTGCCTAATGTCACTTTTATTTAGATTTATTTACAAGGATATACATTTGACTGTTACTTAATCTTGTTAGGTACAGAGAGTACCTCTGATAGGCTTTCACTATGAGTCTCTGGCACCTATAGATATCTCAGTTTTCCTGAATGCAATAGATTTTACCTTTTCTTTTAATTATTTCTAATGTTTAATATGTAGTCATCATCTGAAAAAAAATCTAGTTGTTATGCATAGGTGGGATTACACATTTATTTATTACCTCTTCTAGGTGGGTTCAGGCTGAGTGTAGGAAATTGGGTGACACTGATAACCCAGAAGTCGGTGATCTTTTGAGAACAGCAGTTCGCTGCCTTAAGGAAAGGCATGTGCTTTTCAAGTATTGTGCAGAAGAGGTGATTGTTTTCTTTCTTTTTTTTTTGGCAAAATTTCATGACAAAAACTCATCTCATAGTCACCTTTTGGTTTGTTTTCATAAAGTATAACTTCATTAATCATACAGGTAGCAAATATGAGGCATAATGCATTATTTAGGAGATTCATAAGTGCCCTTACACGTGGAGGGCCTGGCGGAATGCCAAGACCAATTGAAGTACATGCTCATGATCCTTTACGATATGTAGGAGACATGTTAGGGTGGTTACATCAGGTGTGACAGAGTGTTTCTTTTGCTTGCCTTCTACTTCTTTGAGGATTCTGTCTTATTTTTTATTTTATTTATTGTGGTAATTGTCTTTTTGCTGCTTTCCTTCAGGCGTTGGCATCTGAACGAGAACTTGTTCTAGTGTTGCTTGATCCAGATGCTGTCACAGATAGTGGATCCACTGCAGGTGGATTCTCTAACAGCTTGGAGAAGAACTCAGGAAAGGCAGAAGCAGACTTGAAATTTGTCTTGGACAGAATTTTTGAGGGAGTTTGCCGGCCATTTAAAGTGAGAGTGGAGCAAGTTTTACAGTCGCAGCCTAGTCTTATAATTGCATATAAACTAAGCAATACCCTGGATTTCTATAGCTACACTGTAAGCTGATCTATCTCTTCTTGAAGTATGTACGCCCATGTTCTCTATGACACATTTATATTAAGCTTCTGTTATCTTGTAGATTTCAGATTTACTTGGGAGGGAAACAGCTCTCTGTAATACTCTTTGGATGCTGAAAGATGCTGCGCAGAAGACCTTCCTTGACATCTTGAAAAGTCGAGGGGAAAAGCTTTTGCGTTATCCTCCACTCGTTGCTGTTGATCTTTCTCCACCGTTGGCAGTGAGAGAGGGAGTCTCCGTACTGCTTGAAATAATGGAGACTTATAATGGCATGATGGTTCCTGCTTCAGGGAAGAAGCCTCCCTTTGATCCAGTGATCTCTGCTTTGCTTGATCCCGTCATTCAGGTGTGTTTACACTTGATATCAGTTGAATTGACATAGCTGACCTATTGAACACGTCATTCAGGTGTATTTGCACTTGATATCAGTTGCATTGGGATAGCTGACCTATCGCTTCTCCCACATGATGCTTACAGAGGAAATGCTTATAAACTATGTAGAAGATTGTCAATTTCCCACATTACTACGTACAGCACAAAAAAAATAAAAAAATAAATAAAAATAAAAATAAGAAAAAGATGCATCTTATGGTTCCTACTGTAGTTTAATTTACTTTAGAGCAAAAGAGAACGTTGCATTAACTGCAGACAACACTGGGGTAACTTTTCTTTTTTTGGCAAAGCCAAAATCTACCTCCAAGTTAAACCAGGTTCTGAAGCTACTGCATGTTAAGCTACTTCAGGTTTTCAAAATGGTGTTTTTTATTATCAAGGCCAAAGTTATTATTTTCACCGATGCACTTTTGTGGAAATTTAGTCTATTCTCAAAACATGTGAGTGTCCTGATTAGGTATGGAAGTCCTTAATTCTTTAATCAAGGTCTTCTATCTATTACCTTAAACTACTAAATCAACTAAATTATTGGTATAGGACTGGGGCAATGAAAGGAAAATAGAGGTTAACTAAGGTTGAATGAAGATAGCAAAGAAGGATTGAGGAACTCGTGAAAGTGTAGAAAAATATAAGAGCAGAATTGGGTATCAGAAAAGAGAGGGTATAGTGGAAAAAATAAGAAAGTAAAGAGTTAAAAAATTTTCTAGAAAAATATAAGAGCAGAATTGAGTGTTAGAAAAGAGAGGGTATAGAGGAAAAAAATAAGAAGGTAAAGAGGTAAAAAGTTTTCTTACTGGTGAACCTATTACAGACCCTCACACCCCTGGCCTCCTGATTGGAGTCCCATCTAACATGTTTCTTTATTCTAACTAGGCAACCAGGGCCTCTCTCTTGGGATACTCCTAGTGATTGAGAGGAAGTCCTTCAACATTGCTCCTTTATTCTAACTAGGCAACCTTGCCTTGCCTCTCTCTTGGGATACTCCTAGTGATTGAGAGGAAGTCCTTCAACATTGCTCCTTTATTCTAACTAGGCAACCTTCCCTTGCCTCTCTCTTGGGATACTCCTAGTGATTGAGAGAAAGTCCTTCAATATTGCCATTGAAGGGAAGATTGTTGACATCCTTAGGAAGCTCAAAGAGAATTAATTTGTTTTCATTTTCCCTTCTGCTTGTTTAATCCAGAGAGTCTTTAGTTGTTTAGGTCCGCAAGTTCTTGGTGAAGAGTCAAAGGCCATGGTGAAGGATCTTTCAGGTGATTGAATGGAGTTGCTGTTGAGTTTGGGGGATACTGAAGGGAGATTCTAAAGTTAGAGAAGTAAATGAGGATAGCTCGTATAGGATGTCATTTCCAAAAAGGAATAGTGCAACTCTATGAAACAGATATCCCTATGGTAATTAGGAAGTGCTAAGGTTGTTGAGTGGTTTGGAGTTCGACACTATGCTCTTGGGAAAGAAGTTCATTTCCTTGTGCCAGAACCATTCTAGTTGTTTTTTTTTTTTTTTTCTGAAATAAGAACCATCGTAGTTATAACTTCATTAATTAATTTGATGGGCATGTCTTTTCTTCTTTTTTCTTTACTGTGAAATCCTATGGACACATCTTTTGTAAGCTGTTTTTCTTTTTTAGAAACTAAGGTGACAAGGAGTTGTATGATATTTTTTCCATACTTCATATTTCCAAATACTCACGGGCCTTCGAAGGCATTTTCTCCTACTAAATAATTCTTCTGTGCAGAGCCTTTTCTTCCTTGTTCTGTCCTAAACCACAAAGAAAGGGGGAGATGAAACATTCAAGAGAATTTGGGGCTCCTTGCTCTATTAAAGGAGTTCTATGAATTTGGGAAATTTGTGAAAAGCCTCAACTCGTTTCTTGTGCTCATCCCCAAGGTTGAAGAGGCAATAAATCTTAGAGATTCTAGATCTATTAGCTTGGTTGGGAATCTTTATAACTTGATTGCCAAACTCCTTGTGAAAAGGATGAGTTGAGTTGTGAATTCTTTGGTCGGGGAGACTCATCATGCTCCTGTTGGTGGTAGCAAGATTCTAAATGCTTCGATTGTGGTTAATGAAATGGTGGATGCTATTGAAAAGAATGGTAAAAATAGGCTTCTTTTCAAGCTAGATATTGAGGAAGTGTATGACTGTATTTCATGGCTTTTGTATATTTAATAAGTTGAAGGGCATGGGTGAAAACTAGTATATTTATAGTGATTGGGTGAATTCCCTCAAAAAGTGAAATTATGGAAATATTTGTGATGCTTCCCAAGTAACTTTACAAAATAGGATTAACTAAGGAAGAGTCAAGGTCATAGGAAGATAGATAACTCAACAATTTTGAAGTTGTACACAAAATAAATTGTCACATAACTGGATAAAGACAATATTTATGGACTTCTGAATCTGTAAGACTGAGTCAACTGAAAAATTAGAAGGTAAGTTAGTCACATAAATACTAGATATTGGAGTATTGACCCAGGCCAAGGCTATGTTACAAGTTGTAGAGGGAGGATGCACTTGAAAAAGACAATAAGTAGAACCTGTGCTATGATTGGATATCCAGAACCACTTAGTGTAATTTGAAGATTGAGAACCAATGATCCAAGCGTTAAAAGCAGAGTAAATACTCGTATTTTTCTTTTTGCCTGAACTAAAGTAGCAATGATGGAAGATTGTACCCCAAAAACAAAAGTTGTAAGCACATTTTCAGCCAAAAAAACCCATGCTTATATGATTTTATGCACGTTGGCTGCCGGATACTTTTATCTTTTTTTACTAAAATTGAACAGTTTATAATTTTTTAGGAAACCTTTTTATCCAAGCACATTCTTGCTCATTTCGAGTAAAACCTGTTTTCTAAATTGCTTATAAACATTTTGTGCTCAAGCTCTTTTATTTTACAAAGCCAAAAAACTTTAAAATGGGTTGCTCTGGAAAATAGTGATGAATAATTGAAAATGGTGTTTGGTTTATTGTTGACAATATGAGAATATTTTATTGTACAATAACTTATTTGTAATTAACTATATCCTCTACACAATGTATTTATGAAGAGAGTAATCCATTGCATTTGAATCATTTGTAGATCTGCGAACAAGCAGCAGAGGCACACAGGTCTAAGTTGGCCAGCCACTTATCTAGAAGAAGCAGAGCAACTTCTGACTCGGGCCAACTAAGTAAATCAGCAGTTGATGCAATGCTGTCAAGTAGTGGCTCTGCCGTATCCTCTCAGGTTTCTGCTTTGAATGTGTTCTTTTTTTCACGACATTGCTCTTGTAAATTTTGCTCCTCCAGCCTCAGCATGTATCCTGTTGCTTCAATAAAATTTTAAAGTGCTGGCCTAGAAATAGCATATCTTTAGTTCACGCCCAATATTGGTGCGCACAACCATATAGAATTTAGGAGTAACTTACTGTAATCAGCCAATGTACTTGGAGCATGCTTGGAGTATACTTTGGGCTAGACTACTAAAAGCTTTTCTCCTATTGATACCAATTGGTGTGTTCTATAGTTTACTGCATATACTCTATTCCCTCCTTGTTGCATTATATATCTCTCTCATTTCTTCAGAACTTTGAATTAGTTGGTGTCATAAAAAATTCTTGTATCTTCTTAAAAAAATAAATTCTTGTATCTGTCGCACGTCTGAATTGCTATCAACCAAGCTTCTCTTGTATTTGGTCTACTGTATTCCACTCTCTATATGTTTATCATTTTAGCCATTGATATGCATTGTATTCTTTCTCCTTCCAGCCTCTTATCATTTGTTTCCCGAGGAGATTTTGTGCTGGCCATCTTCTTTTTGAAATCCTTTTTGAGTTAAGACTTACTTGGCTTCTAGAAAAAGAAAGGGATAGGGTGTCAACCTTTTTCAACCACTGTATGGTTCCCCTCGCATTGTACATACGTGGCATGTGAAGTGTTAACATGCACGTCTTTCTTTGTCAAGTTAATAAATACGTTGCCCACCCAGAAGATTAAGGGGGAGAAAAGTTCATCTAATATATATATTTATATATATGGTAGATATAATATGGTTGCTTTATATGGTATTCAAGCTCATTAAACTTTTAAGGTCATATTGTTTCTCCTTCGGCATCCTGAAGTGTTTCCAATCTGAGGTCTTAATTGTTTCCCTAGTTAGACACCGCTGATATCATGATTTATATGCAGGACAATGAAGGGCCATCAAAGATCTTCCTCATCAACTGTCTATGTGCCATCCACCAACCACTTCTCGGACATGAAATTGCAGCTGAATATGTGAAGAATCTTGGAGCAATGATTGCTAAGAATGTAGACATTCTTGTGGAAAAAGAAGTTGATGCCATTCTGCGAAAATGTGGCCTGTCGCAGAAGATGCATCACTTCCATGGTTGGCTAGACAGGAATTCTAGCAGCACTGTTGGGGTTCGTCTGGCTGACTTGGAAGACACATCTCCAGCGTCTCTTTCAGACTGTTTGAGAACTTTCTTTATGCTGGTTTTAGGAAGTGAAGGCTCCTTGCCTGAGTTTGAACAGATGCAGGTTCCAAAATTGCGATCTGAGGCTTGCATTCAATTAGCTAGGTCGCTAACTGGAGCTTATGACCTCATCTACAAAGCTATTATGGATCCCGGGAATGGCTATCCAGACCCGAAGTCCCTGGCAAGGCATCCTCCAGATCAGATAAGAACCATCTTAGGCATATAAAATCACCAAAAGATTTTTGTTTTTTTTTTTTTGTGAACACCATCTATTACCTGTACCCTTAAGCAAGAATTAGTACATTAGAGTTCCGTCATCTACATCCAAGTTCATTTATTTATAATCTTTAAGCAACAGATAATAAAAATGTTTGTAATTCTAATTCTCTATTCTTCTTGTGTGATTGTAGCATCCATATTCAAGACCCTGTCAAAATTTGGAGCATAACATATCTGGTTTTAGGAAAAAGAAAAAATCTTTTGCTAGTTACTTGAGATTAATCACTGAATGTACTACTTGAATATATTATGAGACAGGTGTTGGTGTTAATGATTCTTAAGATTGGATGTCCAAATGGTAGATGAACTCAACGATTGGTTCTTATTCCAATAGTATCTAAAATTTGAACAATTTTAAATAATATTTAAGTTTTTAGAATATATCTCTATTTATATTTAATTACTACTTAAATTTTCACTAGAAAAATACTGTTTAGATCAATCTAAACAATTTCAAATAATCCTTGAGTTTTTGAAATATACATCTCTATTTATATTTAATTATTAAACTTTATTTATTGAATATGTAAAAAATACTTATAATTTATATATTGGATGTATAATTTAATCAAATTCCAATAGTATCTAAAATTTTACAATTATAAATTCACTTTTATATGGTGAAAATAATAGTAAAAACATCTAATTTGAATTTAAAAAATGTTCGTTTTCATATTTTACAATTACAATTATAAATTTGTACTTTTTATGTGATGGAAATAATAGTAAAAACATTTAATTCTAATTTAAAATGTCTATCTTCATTCAAAATTTATCATCTAAGTTGGAATTTTCTTTCATTTAATTAAAATTTGAGCAGAATTTTATAGAACAAATTCTTCAAGGAACAAAAAATTTTTATTTAGAAAATTTACACATTAAAAACTTTATAAATTTCCTTCTGCCGGAAAAAAAAGAACAAAAATAGACTCGACACCCACTAAGACTGCGAGTTAACATTTTTGCTTGGCTGGGCGGTTGACCTGGGCACCGCGCCTTACAAGGCACCCTTAGATTCAACACCTGGTTGTTTGAAAAACCAAAAAATAATCCCAAAAAACACCATCAAAACAAAAATAGAAACAGACAGAGATCTGAACCCAATTTACCAGAGCACGATAACATCGTTGCCTTGTCCGATATCTTTCCTAATTCTAAATGCTCTTTTAAGGTTTGTTAGTGACAGAGCCCGTCACAATTCAGAAATCAAGATACCCAGTGAGTCTCTGTCTTCCCTTTTTAGTCTTATGTTCTTCAAGGCCCTGGTTTTCTCATTTTCTTTCCATTGGTTCTTCCACAGAGAGACATGGCAGCCAACGGAGTGTTGGGGGAGAGGGATGCTTGGAAGGCACACGCGGCCATGGCGATGGTGCAGTTGTTTAATGGAGGGTATCATGTGATTACCAAAGTAGCTCTTAATGTTGGGATCAACCAGCTTGTCTTTTGCGTGTTTCGTGATCTTCTTGCTCTCTCCATTCTTGCTCCCGTCGCATATGTCCGTGAAAAGTAACATCTCATGATTCTCTTCTTTTATGTTTATTAGGGATCCGTTTATCTGTTTGGTTCTTATTCATAATGTCAGCTTATATTTTACTTGTTTGTTGGATAAAATAGATTTCATATTGTTTTGCGACTTGCATTTGCTTTGTGATGTTGGATTTTATGGTTGATGTTCTGTAATGCATCCAT